AGGAGAAATACAAAGGGAGGGAGGGAGGAAAGAAAGGAAGGAGTGAAGGAGGAAGGAAGGAGAGAAGGGGAGAAGGAAGGAAGGAAGGAAGGAAGGAAGGGGCAATGGTTCAGTCACCCAAGGTTGCACCTTACCTTCTCCAAGGGCCCCCAGTCTGGTGCTGCACTTTGGTGGCCGCTGCTGGGTAGAGAGAGCCCCCCACCCATCCAGGAAACGGGCAAAGTCAGATCAGCTCCACCCAGCGGGGCCGTTCGCTCATAAAGGGCAGCTGGTTAATGATTAGCCTGCTGCAAATATTTGATAAGTGCTGGGAGAATTCAAAGGGCAGCACCCCAGGAAGACGGCGGGGGGGGGGAGAGCAGGTGCCACGATCGCTGGAGACCCTGGGGGCTTCATGTCCCCCCCCCCCCACCAGCTCAAAGTGACCTAAGAGGTATCCTTACTTTCCTGATGGAAAAAGCCCTCCAGGCACCTGAGCAAAATTTTAAAACAGAAACACAACATAAAATTTGCTCAAACAGCAAATTTGGACCCCTGATCTGAGTCAGACCTCCTCATGTTAACCACTGGGGTCTCATTACCGCCTTGCCCCCCCGGATGACCATCCAAGGTCCCTCCGAGGAGAGAAACTGTCCCCCAATTTTGCTTGCCTAGCTGACCTTCTTCTTTCGAAGTTTTACCATTAGCAATCCAGACTCCAGCAGAGTGTTCCTCAACCTGGCAACTTTAAGATAAGTGGACTTCAACTCCCAGAATTCCCCAGCGAGCCACTCTGGCTGAGGAATTCTGGGAGATGAAGTCCACCCATCTTAAAGCAGGCTGGCTGAGGAATTCTGGGAGTTGAAGTCCCACCATCTCAAAGCATGCTGACTGGGGAATTCTGGGAGTTAAAATCCACATATCTCAAAGCATGCTGGCTAGGAATTCTGGGAGGTGAAGTCCAGTGGTGAAATGTAAAATTTGTTACTACTAGTTCTGTGGGTGTGGCTTGGTGGGGGGGGGTAATATGACTGAGTGGGCGTGGCCAACTTTTTTTTTTTTTTACTTTTAAAACCATTTTTTCTACAACCTCTTCGGCTGAATGTAAAAAAAATGCTTTTAAAAGCCTCTGATGATCCCAAAAGAGCCTTTAATGATTGTGCGGCTCAGCTGGACAATGGAGGGGTGGGGCAAGGATTTTTGCTACCGGTTCTCTGAACCATCCGCTTCCATCGCTACCGGATCATGCGATCCGGTCCGAACCGGGAGCATTTCACCCCGATGAAGTCAAACTATCTCAAAGCATGCTGACTGGGGAATTCTGGGAGTTGAAGTCCACCAATCACAAAGCATGCTGGCTAGGGAATTCTGGGAGTTGAAGTCCACATAACTCAAAGCATGCTGACTGGGGAATTCTGGGAGTTGAAGTCCACCAATTCCAAAGCATGCTGGCTAGGGAATTCTGGGAGTTGAAGTCCACATAACTCAAAGCATGCTTGCTGAGGAATTCTGGGAGATGAAGTCCACCAATCACAAAGCATGCTGACTGGGGAATTCTGGGAGTTGAAGTCCACATAACTCAAAGCATGCTTGCTGAGGAATTCTGGGAGATGAAGTCCACCAATCACAAAGCATGCTGGCTAGGGAATTCTGGGAGTTGAAGTCCACATAACTCAAAGCATGCTTGCTGAGGAATTCTGGGAGATGAAGTCAAACTATCTCAAAGCATTCTGGCTAGGGAATTCTGGGAGTTAAAGTCAGTAGTGAAATCTGAACCGGTTTACTACCAGTTTGTTGACTGCGCTTGTGCACTGAGCATACACATGTGCAGTGCCCAGCACGCACCAAATGTGAGGTGCATGCATGCACACAGTGCATGCCAAAAGGAGGCATGGGGTAAGTAGAAAAGCGCGTGGGGGGCAGCGGTGTGATCAGCTGTGGCACGCGATCTTCAGAGCCTTTTTTTTTACTTTTAAAAGCATTGTTTTACAACCTATTTGCCCGAATAGCTTGTAATAAAATGCTTTTAAAAGGTTAAAAAAAAAAGGCTCTGACGATCGCGTGGCACAGCTGTGATCGTTGGAGCCTCTTTTTTTTACTTTTAAAAAGCATTTTTACTACCCGGTCCGGAGAACAGGTAGTAAAAAAATGCCTAGAAAGTAAAAAAAAAAAAAAAGTTACGACGATTAGCTGAGCAACGTGCGATCTTCGGAACTTTTTTTTTTTTATTTTTTAAAGCATTTTTAACTACCAGTTCTGGAGAACTGCGCATCGCTCAGTTGATCATCGGAACTTTTTTTTTTACATTTTTTACTACCGGTTTGGGTGAACCGGACTGAACTGAGAGCATTTCACCCCTGGTTGAAGTATCTCAAAGCATATCTCAAAGCATGCTGGCCGAGGAATTCTGGGAGTTGAAGTCCAACCATCTTAAAAGATGCTTACTGAGGAATTCTGGGAGTTGAAATCCACATATCTCAAAGCATGCTGGCTGGGGAATTCTGGGAAATAAGGAGGAAGAGTCGCTGCCTAGAAAACAGTCATTTATGTAGGATTCGTTGTCTAGTTTTGAAATAAACCATCACCAGCCAAAACATCCAAGAGAAAACAATGGTAATCTTATTTACTACTTTGCAAAGAGGGTGCCCCACGCAGAGGCAGGTACAGTGGACACACCTTAACTCATCAATATGTTTTCCTTATATCCCCTGCGGCCCTTACAAATTTGCCTCCCACCTTTTCCTCATTGGCTTAGTACTGATGTTGTCACAACTTATCCAAAGTGTCTAAAGTGAATACATTATCTCCCCCCCCATTACATCTCCCATTACTCTAATTCTATCCACCCCTGCCAATGGTGGGTTTCAAAACTATTACTACCGGTTGTGGCTTGGTGGGTGTGGCAGGGGAAGGATACTGTAAAATCTCCATTCCCACCCCACTCCAGGGGAAGGATACTGCAAAATCCCCTTTTCCTCCCGATCAGCTGGGACTCGGGAGGCAGAGAATAGATGGGGGCGTTGCCAGTCAGAATTTTTACTACCGGTTCTCCAAACTACTCAAAATTTCCGCTACCGGTTCTCCAGAACTGCTCAGAACCTGCTGAAACCCACCTCTGACCCCTGCCCTTATTTACAAATCAGCTTTTATGGTTCTAGTTCCTAGGGGTTGTTGTCTCTAGAGTAACTATCATGTCAGCAAATTCTGGTTAAGGCCTGTTTCTAGCCTAGCAGAAACAGTATGTATCTTCCTACATACAATTCTCAAGTCTCAGCCTAGCTCACGAGATTAGAAATATATGCAATGTATTTTCTTCACAGCCTAGCATGTCTTCTTATAGTTCTTGTAAAGACAATAGGCTCTGTTTCCCACAGATGGGACAGCTCAACCGAGAGCTGCATAATGGGAGGAGAAAGAGGCTCAGAAGTGACCATCTCTGAGAATAGAATAGAATAGAATAGAATAGAATAGAATAGAATAGAATAGAATAGGGAAGGGAAGGGAAGGAAAAGAGGAAGGAAGGGAACGGAGGAAGAGAAGTGGAAAAGAGAGAAGAGAAGAATAAAGAGAAGAGAAGAATGGAATGGAGTAGAGTAGAATAGAATAGAATAGAATAGAATAGAATAGAGAAGAGGAGAGAAGAGAAGAGAAGAGAAGAGTGGAAAGAAGGGAAGGGAAGAAGAGAAGAAAAGAATGGAATGGAATGGAGTAGAGTACAATAGAATAGAATAGAGAAGAGAAGAGAAGAGAAGAAAAGAGAAGAGAAGAGTGGAAAGAAGGGAAGGGAAGAAGAGAAGAAAAGAAAAGAATAAAGAGAAGAGAAGAATGGAATGGAATGGGATAGAGTAGAGTAGAGTAGAATCAAATCGAATCAAATAGAATAGGGAAGAGAAGAGAAGAGAAGAGTGGAAAGAAGAGAAGGGAAGAAGAGAAGACAAGAGAAGAAACAAAAAGAAAAGAATGAAGAGAAGAATGGAATGGAATAGAATAGAATAGGAAAGAGAAGAGACGAGGAAGAGGAAGAGGAGGGAACGGAAGGGAACAGAAGAAGAGAAGAGAAAAGGAGGGAAGAGGAGGGAAGGGGAAGAGGAGGGAAGGGAAAGAAGAGAAGAAGAGAAGAGAAGAATAAAGAGAAGAATGGAATGGAATGGAATAGAATAGAATAGAGAAGAAAAGAGGGAAGGGAAGAAGAGAAGAGAAGAGAAGAGAAGAGAAGAATAAAGAAGAGAAGAGAAGAATGGAATGGAATGGAATGGAATAGAATAGAATAGATTAGAATTCTTTAATGGACACACAAGGAATTCGTTTCTGGTGCGCAAGCTCTCAATGTACACACAGCAATTGTGATATCATTAACACAGTCATTGTAAAATATATTCATCATAAAACATTAGATACACAGAGTTATCCCAGTATAAAGGGGGCAGCGGGAGCTTTGTACTTTCAAACTTCTAAAACTCCAATTCATGTAGCCTTACAATATGGTCATCCGCTCGTGTTTCCTGTCTGGTCTACCTGGAGAGACGGACATTCAACCTTGCACGTTTAAAAGTACCATCCTCCCACCATCTCCTTTACAGTCACTTAGGTGAACTCCAGGGTTTGCAGAAATAGGAAAATAAGTGGGGGAAGAAAGACCCGGAGTGGAGGACCCAAACAAGGCTGGGAACAGAGTGGGCCAAAAGAAGGCAGGGTCGATGGGCCTTGGAATTCAATTGTGAGTTTCAACACCCCCTTTGATTTTCAATGCTCGGCTCCTGGGTTGCATTTGGAGTCCTGAAAAGCAGCTATCAAGAAAGTTTGGGAAATCCTTAATTTCTTTTTTTTTAAAAAAGTGTTTTAAAATGCCCTGATAGGCAGCATCCTGGCTTGGGGCTAAGGGGGGTGTTGAAACTCACCATTTAATTCAAAGGCACTGGCTTGGAACCTCTCGCTCTTGGTTGCCCACGGAGAACGTCGGGGCAGCCAACTCATAATGGGAGCCTTTCCCCACCCAGGAGCTTCCGGAATGTTTCAGTGGGAGCCCAGCAGTGGCCATGGATGTCCGGAGAGACTCTTGGTTCCTGGTCATTGCCTGGTCATTGCTGGACGGGCCCTTCTCCAACGGGGAGAGCCAGGGCACAAATGGCCCTTGTGAGCAGCAGCTGCGATTTCGGCACAGCAGCGTCGAGAGTGGCGGGCCTTGGCTGTCCACCCTGGCTCTGCTCAGCAGCATCGGCGCCATTTGGCTATTCGTCTTCTACGCCATCCGCTGCTTGTGCCTCAGGAGAAACCAGTGCACGCAGGAGCTGGACGAGGGAATAGAGAAACGCTGGGAGGTAAGGCTCTGGGGACCCCACCGCTGGAGGACGGAGAGTACTCGAGGGGCTGCCTGCCACAGAGAGGACAAGGTGGAGCTATTCTCTGGAGGAGCTGAGGGCAAGAAGCAACGGGTGGAAACTAATCAAGGAGAGAAGCAACCTAGAACTAAGGAGAAGTTTCTTGACAGTGAGAGCAATTACTCAGTGGAACGGCTTCCAGTGGAAGTGGCAATTACTCAGTGGAACCCAGAAGTTGTGGGTTTTTAAGAAGAGATTGGACAACCGTTTGACCAGGATAGTATAAGGTCTCCTGCTTGAGCAGGGGGCTGGATTAGAAGTCCTCCAAGGTCCCCTCCAGCCCAATGATTCTATGATTCTATAAGAAAGATAGATGATAGATAAATAGATGATAGATAGATAGATAGATAGGTAGCTAGATAGATAAAAAGAAAGAAAGAAAAAAGTAAGAAAGAAGGAAGGAAGGAAGGAAGGAAAGAAAGAAAGAAAAAGAAAGAAAAAGAAAGAAAGTAAGGGAAAAAAGTAAGGAAGGAAGGATGATTGATCAGTAGATCGGTAGATGATAGATAGATATAAATAGAGAGAGAGAGAGAGAGAAAGAAAGAAAGATGGTAGATGATTGATCAGTAGATAGAGAAAGAGAGAACAAGAAAGAAAGAAAAGAAAGAAAGAAAAAGAAAGAAGGAAAGAAAAAGAAAAAAAGATGGTACATGGTAGATAGAGAGGGAGGGAGAGAGGGAGAGGGATCAGCTTTCTTTCTGAAGTTCTGGATTGCTCCAAACCTGGAGGTTTTTCTGGACAACCATTTGTCTGCAATGGTATAGGACAGCGATGGCTAAACTTTTTGCTGTCATGTGCCAAAAGCATGGGGAGCGTGGGGGCGTTATGCATGTGTGTGCCCACACCCATAATTCTACGCGCCCTGCTTCCCCGCGCATGCACACACGACCCTCCCCCCACGCTTCCCACACTTTTGGCACACGGTGGCACAGTGGGCCAGGTAGGCCTGTTTTTTCGTCCTCCCCAGGCTCCAGAGGCTTTCTTGGAGCCTGGGGAGGGTGAAAACAGCCTTCCCCATGCCCCCGGAAGCCCTCCGGAGGCCGGAAACAGCTTGTTTCCCGACTTCCAGTGGGATCAGAAGGCCCGAAAATCAGCTGGCCAGTGCACGCATATGCACTGGAGCTGAGCTAGGGCATAGCTTGCGTGCCCACAAATATGGCTCCGTGTGCCACCTGTAGCACGCGTGCCATAGGTTCATCATCATGGGTATAGAATCTCCTGCCTTGAGCAGAGGGCTCGATAGGTCCCTTCCAGCCCTAGAGCTCTATGATTCTGCAAGATGACATCAATGGTTCGCACAACTCACCACCGAGCCAAGTCAGGGAAGGAGGCTTCCTCCATGCAGCAGGCTCAGATAAATGGCCTTCCCTTCAACCTCCTTCATTTAGCTGTCTTTGTATCATCGGTTGTTTTTTTCCTTTACCTTTTTATTCTACGGTGGTCCACCCAGGGTCACCGCATGAATGGGACGGGTGCCATAAAAATGTAATTGATTAATAAGTAAAAGTGCTTCGTTGTAAGCTCAGGGAGGGGTGGGCTTATTTGAGGGTCTCTTCACGTGGTGCAAACACATTTTTGTGGAAGTTTGTAGTCGGTTCTGGAAAAAAAGCAAGCAGGAAGAGCATACGATAGATCAATAATGTGGTTAAAAAATTACAAGTGTTTATTAATTGACCAAGAATCCATGATTGGTCATTAATTAATTAATGAAGAAACTATGGTCATTAATATATATCAATAAAGGAACAACTGGTCTTTAATTAATTAAGAAATTGAGTAGCCATTGATGAATGAAGAAACTACAACTGGACATTGATTAATTAATGAACTAATTATGTGGTCACAAATTAATGGCAAAACTATGACTGGTCAGATAATTAATTAATCAATTAAGAAACAATCATAGTCATAATCATAATCATAATCACACATAATCATAAGTGTCAATGGTCATCTCATTTGCTATGTATACTGTCTTAAATAAAATAATAATAATAATAATAATAATAATAATAATAATAATAATAATAATAATAATAATAATAACTTTATTGTCATTGTACGTGTATACACAGTATACCCATACAACAAAATTCACTTAACACCCAAAGACCAGGGTGTAACACACATAACAATCCCCAAACACCCCCCCACCCACCACAAATTCCCCACCCCTCAACCACCCAAACATCCACACAACAGACCAAGTCATGCTCTCCAACAGCTCACTGATGATGGCCCATTCATGGTTGAGTGCAATTATAGCTCTGGGATAAAAACTATTCAGAAGACGCGTTGTCCGAGTTTTCATTGTTCTGTATCTTCTGCCAGAAGGCAACAGTCCAAAAAGATTGTGAGCAGGATGGGAAGAGTCTCTGAGAATGTTATGCAACTTTCTCAAACAGCGAGATTCGAAGATGTCGTCCAAGGCTTGTAGCTGGAGCCCAATGATATTCTGGGCAGTTTTAATGATTCTCTGTAGAGCTTTTTTGTCTGCTGCAGAGCTGCTCCCATACCATGCAAGAATGTCGTATGTCAGGACACTCTCAATGGTGCTGCGGTAGTAGGACAGAAGTAGATGCTGAGATAGATTTATCTTTCCTGAGCATTCTCAGGAAGTACAGCTTCTTCTGTGCCTTCTTCTGTGCCTACAACTGGTCATTAGTTAATAAAAAATAGGAATGGTTGTTAATTAATAAACAAACTCCAACTGGTCATTAATTAATGAAGATATTATGAGTGGTCATTAATGAAGTAACTCCAATTGGTCATTGATGAATGATGTAATGATGAGTGGTTAATTAATGAAGAAAGCATGTGCGGTCATGAGCCACTTATTTAATTATTTTAAATTTTATATTGTTGTTTTGTTTGTGTTTTTAAATAGGCTGTACACCGCCCTGAGTCCTTCGGGAGAAGGGCGGTATAGAAATAAAATTATTATTATTATTATTATTATTATTATTATTATTATTATTATTATTATTATTATTATTATTATTATTAATTGAGAAATTACAACTGGTTTTTTACTAATTAATTAAAACAGATCTCCCCTCATTCTTCTTCTTTGCTGCAGGAGGTCCAGACGTCCTGTCCAGAAGAAGACGGGGACCAATCGTGCGGCTACCAATCTCAGGTCCTCGTCCCTGCCCAGTCCGAGTTCGGATCCAAACCTCCAGGCACCAACCCCACCCTCCAGGCGTATTCCCACCAGCTGGCCTGCATGGAGCAGGAACTGGAGCATTTCCTAAGTGAGGTGCGCAACAGGCAGGGCACCCTGGGGGGCAAGGCAGGGAAGGAGAGGGACCCCCCGAATCTGAAGAAGTGGAGCGCGGACAAACTGCGCATCACCGTCTATGAAATTGCCGACAGCGAGCAGCCGGACCAGGCGTGGGGCAGAGGACGCAAGAGGAAGTTCAAGTAGAGAAAGGGGCACCGTGAAACTTTGAGGTGTGCCCAGTGGGCGGCTGGCAGCCGGAATGAAGGGGGCTCAGGAGTCACTGAGTATCATGATTTGTCTTGGCACATTTATTAACAATAAATTATGAATCCAATCGAGACGAGTCCAGGTAGACTTCTTCTGTGCGCCGGTCAGGTCATTGGGAAACGGTGTGGTGCCAGGAGTCGGGGAAGGGTGGCAGAGATGCCCTCATGGATAGCCGTATGTTCAGTGGGTCTCCTGGATGCCCATGGACTGTTTCTTCCTTTTTTATTTTGCTTATTCTGTTGGGGAAACTCACCTCCCCAGAGACATCTGGAGTCTCAAATCTCCAATTTGGTGACTTTGAGATGTGGGGACTTCCAATCCCAGAATTCCCAGCCAGAATGCCCGGATTAGTACGGTTCCTATTCATGGGTTGTGGGGAATTTATACTCGTCAGTTGATATGGGGCAGCATCAAGTGGTTGTGGCTCATTCAACAATCGCCCGGTGAAAGGGCTTCAGTCGCTGACTTCGGATTGTGCAATGGGGGTCGTTGGTCTGCTTGGGGTCCAAGGGGGTCTCTGCCCAGCCTCACCCTGGTCTCATCCAGGACGTGATGCGCTGAGGAGGGTCCCTTCCATCTTCGTCATCCGTTGCTCTTTTTTCCTTCAGTCGGGTCCAATTCTTGAAGTCTGTCTGAATATGTCCAGGCAAGGTTTCCGGAAGTGGTTTGTCATTGCCTCCTTTCTAGGGCTGAGAAAGAATGGTTGGCCTAAGGTCACTGAGATGGCCTTCTTCAAGGGGAGGAAGAAAGGAGAGAGAGGAAGAAACAAGGAGGGAGGGAGGGAGGAAGGAAGGAAGGAAGAAACAGGGAGGGAGGAGGAAGGAAGGAAGGAAGAAACAAGAAGGGAGGAAGGAAGGAAGGAAGGAAGGAACAGGGAGGGAGGGAGGGAGGAAGGAAGGAAGAAACAGGGAGGGAGGAAGGAAGAAACAGGGAGGGAGGAAGGAAGGAAGAAACAAGGAGGGAGGGAGGGAGGAAGGAAGGAAAGAAGAAAGGAGGGAGGGAGGAAGGAAGGAAGGAAGGAAAGAGGGAAGGAGGGAGGAAGGAAGGAAGGAAGAAACAAGGAGGGAGGGAGGAAGGAAGAAACAGAGAGGGAGGGAGGGAGGAAGGAAGGAAAGAGGAAAGGAGGGAGGGAGGAAGGAAGGAAGGAAAGAGGGAAGGAGGGAGGGAGGCTTTGGTGCCTATTGGAGGTCTAGAACTCACAGTCTCCTGGAGATTGGCCCAGGGTGACACAGCCATCTCTTATGAGTATTCCAGGAGTAGAACTCACCATGCCTATTGCAGGAAGAGGAGATACCGTTTCTTGGCTGTTGGTCCTAAGTCACTAAGCCGGCTGTTGTGAGAATTGTAAGACTAGAACTCACCTTCTCCTTTTGATTGGCACAAAGTCGCGCAGCCAATTGCTGTGTATATTGCAGGAGAGGAACCCACCATGCATATTGCAAGAATGGAAGTCCTCCCCTCCTGGCGATTGGCCAAAACTCAACTGATGATCTCCTCAACTGCCTGTCCTGTGTATTGCAGGGAAGAACCCACCTTCTCGTGGCTTGGGGATGGGCAAAAAGTCACTCAGCCAGCTGTCCTGCGAATTGCCGGAGTAGAACTCACAAAACCTATTGCAGGAATAGTAGTTACTGTCCCTTGGATATTGGCCCAAAGTCAATCAGTCGGTTACCACGTGAATTGAAGGAGTAGAAATCACCATCAAGTCCTTATCGGTTGAAAATCATAAACACGCCTGTCATTCGGACTGCAGGACTAGAATTTACCTTCCCTCCTGCAGGACTACAAGTTACAAACTGATCCTTATGGGCCCAAAGTCTCCAGTTGCCTGTTATGCATACTGGAAAGCACCATCTCCTGCTTATTTCTCCAAAATAGTGAAGGTGTCTTTCCTGTATAAAGGTAAAGGTAAAGGTTCCCCTCGCACATATGTGCTACTCGTTCCCAACTCTAGGGGGCGGTGCTCATCTCCGTTTCAAAGCCGAAGAACCAGCGCTGTCCGAAGACATCTCCGTGGTCATGTGGCCGGCACGATTCAACGCCAAAGGCTCACAGAACGCTCTTACCTTCCCACCAAAGCTGGTCCCTATTTTTTCTACTTGCATATTTTATGTGCTTTCGAACTGCTAGGTTGGCAGAAGCTGGGACAAGTCACGGGAGCTCACCCCGTTACGCAGCGCTAGGGATTCGAACCGCCGAACTGCCGACCTTTCGATCGACAAGCTCAGCATCTTAGCCACTGAGCCACCGCATCCCTTTTCCTGTATAAAGTTCTACAAATACTCACCATCTCCTGGTTATTTCTCCAAAATCGTGAAGGTGTCTTTCGTGTATAAAGTATAAAGCCCAAGAAAAGGTATAACACCCCTCCCCCCACTCTCAACTCCATGGGGTCAGCTGCCCAGACCCCATGCTTGGTGGAAGGGACCTTGGAGGTCTTCTAGTCCACCCCTCTGCCCAAGCTCATAAAGTCACAGAATTGTAGGACTGGGAGGACCTTAGAGGTCTTCTAGTCCACCCCACTGCCCAAGGGAGGAGTCTTCATCCCAAGAGTTCCTTCTCTAGCTGTGAAAACCTCCAACTTTCTGTTCCTTCCTTGCTTACCAACTTACCTCGTGTGACGTGTGTGGTTGGGTGTTGTGTCCTCCCGTGGGCCACTTTCCTGACCCATTCACGGCATGTCAATCCAAGGTGATTCAGCCCAGAGGTGAGTCAATGGCACATCCCTGAAACGGTTGGGCAACTCCACCGGGGGCTGAGCCAGGTGGGGCCTGGAGGGTCCAGGAGGGTCCTTTTTTCCTGGATCTCAGAATGATGGGCGTTTTCTCCCTAAAACGCTATAGTTGCTGATGACACACTAAGCAAATGCTCTTGACTATCAGAATGAGAAATCTGTTCTGTGGGATATGACCATAGTTTTATGGATAAACACTGCCTCCGTGTGGCGATTCTTAGTACGTCACCCTGGCATTCTGACTTGAACTCTAGAAAAAATTAATCTGGGCTCTTTGCAAATTTAGGACTGATCTTTATAAGCTGGAATGCCTAATTTATTTATCTTTTTATTTATATCCCATCTTCATTATTTTTATAAATAAGCATCCAGCCCAGCCCACCACGAAGGCAGGGTTTTTTTTCCTGCTAGTCATCAGAAATATTTTTCTGACTTTCCTATTTTTAAATGGTAATATTTTTATTGAACTTTAAAAATACAAAGAGAGCAAATAACGCAAACTAAGAAAAATGTTTTTTTTTAAAAAAAAGGACTAAAGAGGAAAAGGAGTGAAGGGAGAAAAACCCATAAAAGAAAATATGTATTTCTTGCTTTTTCTGACTTTCTGATGCAGCTCATTTAATAAAAATGTTAATCAGACAAGAGCTGGCTGACTTCATAGATGGTAGAAAGGATAAAATACATTCTTTGTTTCTTTTGCCATTTTGATATTAGTTTTTGAATTGTGTTATTATAGAAATTTTTAAGACAGCGGCACTATCACTTCTGGTGATTTTGACTCTATCCTTTCTTTATCTATCTCTTTTCTATTTTCCTTATTATTGTTTTTCTTTGTCTGCATTTTTTCTTTTTATATTTTTCCTGCTTTGTATTGTTTCCTTACTTTTGCATTTGTAAACTTTAATGTCAAGGATTATTTCAGAAAGAGGAAGACCTTCTAAGTATAACAGTCTCTTGTGTCTAAGGGTTATCCATTCTTTTAACCACGTTAAAAGAACATGCTTGGTAATATTCAATTTTATGCTCATTTTTTCCCCTTGCCAAATAAATTTCAGCATCAATTTGTTCAGATCATCAAAGAATTTCTTTTCAATTTTTAATGTTTGGAACAGGAAGAGCAGTTTTGGTAGGACATTCATTTTTATCGTAGCAATCCTTCCTAACATTGAGTTTCCATTTTTCTAAATCTAATTTTATTTGCTTAAGTAGCTTTATATAATTGTCTTCTTTTAGCATTGCACACCTTGCTGTTAAGTATATTCCCAAATATTTAACTTTCTTGACTATTTCAAAATCCACTTTTTCTGCCAGATTTTCTTTTTGTTTTTGTGTAACTATAACTTTAGTTTTTCCCTCTATTTATTTTCAGTCCTACTACCTCTCCAAATTCCTCTCTCTCTTTTAACAATTTTGGAATTGTCTCTAGTGGTTCTTCTACAATAAACACCAAATCGTCTGCAAATGCTTGTAGTTTATATCTTTCCTCTCTTATCTCCATTCCCTTGATTTCTCCATTTTGCATTTTTTCTTCTTTTTATATTTTTCTTGCTTTTTATTGTTTCCTTACCTTTACGTTTGTAAACATTAATGGCAAGGATTACTTTGAAAAAAGAAAGACAAAACAGAGGCCAAACTTTAATGTGCTGCTTTTATTTTTGTTGCAAAGCGTTGTCAGATTGTGTGTTTTAATCGTTATTTTTTCTGCTCCGGGACAGGCACCTCCGTCTCCGGATTCTGATTCGGCCGCTGACTCAGCAGTAGAAGATCAGCACGGCGGCCTCCAAGATGATGTTCGAAGTGCTCCATCCGTGGTGAGTCCCGTAGCCGTCCCAGTCAAAGGCGGAAAAATCACCACATTGACTGGGGGTGTCTTCTGGGAAAAAGCCCCCTCCTCCAATGCTAAGGAAGGAAGAAAAGGAGTGTCAGACTTCGATGCTATCTCAAAATAAATGAATTTCCAAACTGCCAATCTTTAAGGAAATCTTCTCTTTATTTGAGCACAGCAACCGGATCATAACTCGATGCGGACAAGACTGACGTTTTGCCCCCCAATCCCTCCCTTTCCGATCCCCAATTATCTGCTTCTCATTGGCTATCTTCCAAGTCACTCCACTGTGTCAGCGTCTCACCGCTGGCATAGAGAGGAGAGAGATAAGCCCTGAACTTTTGCCTGCTAAATCCCTTTGAAGTTGGGTCGTCGTGGAAATGAAGGGGAAATGACGAGACAAGAAGTCAGTAGAGTGACTTGGAAGATAGCCAATGAGAAGCAGATAATTGGGGGTCGGAAAGGGAGGGATTGAGGGGCAAAAGGTCAGTCTTGTTCACATCGAGTCATGATCCGGTTGTTGTGCTCAAATAAAGAGAAGATTTCCTTAAAGATTGGCAGTTTGGAAATTCATTTATTTTGAGATAGCATCGAAGTCTGACACACTGACTTCTTGTCTCGTCATTTCACAGGAGTAGAGAGGGTGGGCTGGTTTACAGCAACTTGAAGAAGACTTTCAGTAGAGAGCTGGCTTTCTGCCATGGCTTCGGAACCTTGCCGCCACTCCGTCCAAACATCTGGTAGGGAGCTGGAGGGCTGGAGGTTTGCCAGTTTGGCTTGGAAAGTTGTGAGTCTTGTCCGTCTGTCAGACTTCGATGCTATCTCAAAATAAATGAATTTTATTTATTGCAGGACTTACAATAAGCTCTCAACTCAAGCTCAGTGCACCTGAGGATCTCCCTAAACAGTGAGGATTTCTTTGTTTCTTTCTACCCTTGAAGCCCCCCCCCTCCGCAGCCCATTTTTGCTTCCAGGGGGCTGCAGGGAGTCTTCCTAAGCACCCCACACACCCCATTTTGGCCTTAGCAAGCCTCCCTGCATCCCCTGGGAGCCAAAACAGGGCGCGGGGGGGGGACTGCTCTAAGGGGCAGGGAAGGTAAGGTCGCGAGCCCGGTGAGGGTGGTGGGGGTGGCGCAGCATGCTCTGTGGGGGGGGGGGGCTAGCGTGACTTACCTGTAGGCAGGAGGAGGCAGCTCAGTTGGGGCGCAGGGCAGGCACCATGTGGGAAGGCAGCTTAGGCAGGCAAGCCGCACCACGCCAACCAGAACTGAGCAGAGGGGAACGATGACCTTCTAGAGCCCAATTAATTCACCAGAAGATAACTTTGGCATTTGGGGTACCTGCATCACGCAGCTCGCTCATCATTAACTTCAGATTGATAAGGATCTAGAACACAGAACATAGAATAGTAGTGATAAAATAGCCAGCTTGCCTTGGTCATCCTGAAGGATGGTCTGGGCCAACAGAGAGGCAGTGTAAGGATTGCCTCTCCTTCCAACTTAAGAAAGTAAAAACTCTTGAAACGTGGTTGTTCAAAAGAGACCTTTTATTAAGCAGAAGTGACAGCCATCCAGATAAAGCACGAGCTGAATACCCTTAGGCAAGACAAGTAGGATTAAAGCAGTAGAGACCCCTCCCTTTAAGTCAGAATTTAGCCAATACACAAGTGTGAAGATGTTTTTTTACTAGTTTCCCTGAGAACCCGAACAACCACACATTCACACCGTTATCCTTTAAAGTGAAACAACCCACATGGCTATCATAAACATTCCTCCACTTTAAGAGGATCTCAGGGCTCTTTGGTGCCAGGATATAGGTTGTAAAATATCTGTTGACACAGGCAATGCTAGTAAATCAAATCCAAGTCTCCCCCATCCTCCAATTGAATGGCAGTATCACTTTTTGGGATCTGACATGCTACCCTCCTTAGAAAACGAAAGGGTCCACCTGTAAAAAAAAAAACAAATATACACAAAATTTCACGATAGTACATTAACAAGGTTTGTTAGGGTATTGGGAGTGAAATTTTCTCAGTAAGATTGGAGCTCTAACGTGGTGTTTAGCGACCCATTCATTGTGTGCTGATGGTAAATGTTTCCAAGTGACTAAGTATATATTTTTTTCCCTCTGTGGATCCTAGAGTCAAGGATTTCCTTGATTTCAAAGTGTTGTTCACCTTCAATCATGATGGGAACAGGTGGTGTAGATGCAGGTGGTCTGAGGGATGAGATTACTTCTCGTTTGAGTAAACTGATAGGGAATACTGGGTGGATCTGCCTGAGTGTCTTTGGAAGGAGTAATTCAACTGCTACTGGATTGATGACTCTAGTGATGGGGAAAGGTCCAATGAACTTTGGCCCTAGTTTCTTTGATGGTTGTAATGATTTCAGGAATTTTGTAGATAAGTATACTCTGTCTCCAATATGAAAAGGTTTGGGTTCCATCCTTTTCTTGTCAGCTTGAATTTTAAAAGCTTCTCTAGCTTCCTTTAAAGCTAATCTAACCACTGGCCACTGTTCTGCAAATTTGCAAACCACCGTTTTGCAAATTATCCATCCACTCCTGCCCTTGTTGGTGCTGCACGCACCTCGGTTGCTCAGGGAGACACGCAACTTACACTGGCCCAGCCTGGCTGCGGCTGACACTGCTGCTGTCACCACCTCCATAGCCTGCCTACTGCTCTTGCAGCCCCTTGCGCAGCACAGTTAAATTTAGCGTCCTTCACAATGGGGGAGACAGCGCCCACTCCTCTCCTCCTGGAGCCCATTACAATGTGGAGCAATGTCGGCTGCAGCCAGCCTAGTCAGTGTCTCACTGACACTGACAGTAACCCTGACAGTAAGTTGCGCATCTCCCCAAGTGACCGAGGTTCATGCACCAACAAGGGCCAGAAGAAGCACCCGCTCTGGAATATGGAGTGAGTCTCCATCCCCCGCCGTCACCCTTACCTTCTCAGGCCAGGCGAGGAGTGACGGGGAGGGGAGGGGAGGGTGGCGGAGCCGACAGGGAGCCACAGCAGGGGGCCCAAAGAGCTTCATTTATCTGAGAACCTGAAATGACTCTTGATTTAAATCATATGGTAAAAAGCAGCCAAAGAAGAAGAAAGACCAGCATCAGCCAAAAACAAAACAAAAACACCAAACAAAACAAAATAAAAAAAACACACACACACATACGAGAGAGAAAGAGAGAGAGAAAGAGAGAGAGAAAGAAAGAGAGAGAATGGGAGAGACAAAGAGAGAGAGAGAGAGAGAAAGAGAGAGAGAGAGCGTGGGAGGGACAAAGAGAGAGAGAAAGAAAGAGAGAGAGAGGGAGAAAGAGAAAAAGAAAGAAAGAAAGAGAGTGGGAGGGACAAAGAGAGAGAGAGAGAAAGAAAGAGAGAAAGAAAGAGAGAGAGGGAGAAAGAGAGAGAAAAAGAATGGGAGAGACAAAGAGAGAGAGAGAGAGAGAGAAAGAGAAAGAGAGAGTGTGGGAGGGACAAAGAGAGAGAGAAAGAAAGAGAGAGACAGGGAGAAAGAGAAAGAAAGAAAGAGAGAGTGGGAGGGACAAAGAGAGAGAGAGAAAGAAAGAGAGAGAGGGAGAAAGAGAGAGAGAAAGAGAGAGAGAATGGGAGAGACAAAGAGAGAGAGAGAGAGAAAGAGAGAGAGAGAGAGAGCGTGGGTGGGACAAAGAGAGAGAAAGAAAGAGAGAGTGGGAGGGACAGAGAGAGAGAGAGAAAGAAAGAGAGAAAGAGAGAGAGAGAGAGGGAGAAAGAGAGAGAGAAAGAAAGAGAGAGAGAATGGGAGAGACAAAGAGAGAGAGAGAGAGAAGAGAGAGAGAGAGAGAGAAAGAGAGAGAGAAAGAAAGAGAGAGAGAATGGGAGAGACAAGAGAGAGAGAGAGAGAGAAAGAGAGAGAGAGAGAGAGAGAGAGAGAGAGAGAGAGAGAGGGAGAGAGAGAGATACCTGTTTCCCACAGAAAAGAAAGCCACAAAACTTGGGTAGGCATGGCGGGGGGGTGTGTGTCATGTGACTGGGTGGGAGTGAGTGACATCGAGTTGGCCACACCTACCCAGGTTTTGTGGCTCCCGGTGTTTTCTTTTCTGTGGGAAACGGGTCCAAATGGCTCTGAGTGTTTAAGGTTGCAGACCCCTGCTCTAGTCTCTTCTTGAAAACGTCCAGTGCTGGAGTGGTCACAACTTCTGAAGGGAAGCTGTTCCACTGGTCCATTGTTCTCATTGTTAGGAAGTTTCTCCTTAATTCCAGGTTGAATCTCTCTTTGTTTAGTTTCCATCCATTGTTTCTTGACCTGCCTTCTGGTGCTTTGGAGAACAGATTGACCCCTCCCCTCTTCTTTGTGGCAGCCCCTCAAATACTGGAAGATGCTATCATGTCGCCCCTAATTCTTCTTTTCTTTAGATTAGCCAAACCCAAAACCCGCAGCCATTCTTCATATGTTTTAGTCTCCGGGCCTTTTAATCATCTTAGTTGCTCTTCCCTGAACTTTTTCTGGTGCGAATCCTTTGCAGGATTGTCTGTTGCTGACATGGTAGTTCAAAGCCTGACACCTTTTCTGTGGAGTCATTTATATCTCTTCCTGTAACTGGACGTTCAGTGACCCCTTCGGTTTTTCATTGGGAACTGACGTTGAAGTTGTTGGGCAGATGTTGTGCAAGGGCCTTGATAGCACAGTGGTCTAAGCACCCTGTTATTAACACAGCTGCCTGCAATTACTGCAGATTCGAATCTCGCCAGGCTCAAGGTTGACTCAGCCTTCCATCCTTTCTAAGGTAGGTGAAATGAGGACCCAGTTTGTGGGGGCAATAAGCTGACTTTGTATAAATATACAAAAAGTATGAAGGCTATTGCTGAGCACATTGTAAGCTGCCCTGAGTCTCCGGAGAAGGGCGGCATATAAATAAATAAATAAATAAAAAGGGCCAGTGGGGGCTTCCTAGGTGACCTAACAATAATGAACATCTGTAAACCTCCTCTAACAGAATGGCCATCGCCACACCCAACACCCTACTGATGTGAAGGCAATTTCAATAGCCATCACATTTTTTTAAAAAAATTTGATTTATATGCCGCCCTTCTCTGGAGACTCAGGGCGGCTTACAATGCTCTAAGCAATAAACATTAATTGGAAATACTGTTCCACTGATGGAAATGGTGAACAATTGTCCAACTGGGCCAATCAAACAAAGTCCAAGTGATTTTGCACACTAAAGACAAGATCATGTTCAAATCAATGGCATGGGATTGCAAAACCAATCCCGACTTGCGCTTTCTCACAAAAGGCCCAAACTCCCAGCCAGTCCCCATCTAGGGAAGTGTGACCCCCACGGAGAACCCCAGTTGTGAGGAGCCTGGGAAAAAGAGTCTGGAATCCACTATCACTCAGCCTTGCTAGGTCTGAGTCTGACCTGGGTCCTTCCCATCCAGGCCCTGATCATCATCTTCAGATGGAGTTATAACTTCAACTGGAGTTATAAGACACATCTGGAGACTTTGAAGCATTTGTAACCTTCCTGAGGCTCAAATATCTTCCTGGTATTTGGCACATAGATTTACAGAGAGGGTAAAAAGTTCCTTCTCTATTCATTACTACAACACATTAAAGAATTGCAGTTAATACAAGAGAAATAGTATCAAAAGCAGGGAAGGAGATTTGTGCAATCAGACCATCGACACATTTCTAAGGTTTTAAAATGAAATATGTAAGTACTCATCAAATGCAACTGAACTGAAATATTACCAATTTAAATATATATATATAATAAAAAATGTTATTAGATTAAGGAGAGGTGAAGGAATATATCATAAGTATAATTGTAGAACGTCACTCTGAAAAAATGCTTAAGAAGAAATTACACTCTTTTTGTGTATATGTTGTATAAATGGTTGTTGTGTATATGTTACGTATATCTTTTTTAATATTTATATTCAATAAAAACTACTTTTACAAATGCAACTGAACTGCCCACTTCAGAGAGCTGAAGCAGCTTCACGAGTGTTGCTACAATAACAATTAAATTTGTATGTATAATATTCATATATTAATGAGGGAGGTTGGCTGATTTCTCCCAAATTAATGATCAGATGGCCAGAATTCTTTTCCAGGTTTTATTGGCCATTTGGTCGTTTTTCTTCCACATTTTCTCTCAGATACCTAGACATCCAATTAAATGTTCTGTGTGATGCTCCTTCCAACCCAGAGACAAGACATGCCCAGGGAAAAATGCTTTACTGATGGGTTTTATTCCATGGGTGTTGATTTGGTGTCTAGATTTATTCATTATTATGTGACAGGAAGTCCTCCTGGAAACTAAAGATCTAAAGATCAACATGAAATTCTACTGGTTTTTTTTTTTTATCAACATGAGATAAAA